TAGAGCACTAGCCTTCAACAAAAAGAGCTTAGGAACAGCGCCCAGGCCCCAGAGTATAAGCCACAGGACTGGCAAAATAAAAAAAAGGAGGGAGAGAGAGATAGAGATAGAGACAGACAGACAGAGACTGACAGAGACAGGGATAGAGAGACAGAAAGATCTGTTTTCTATTTATCTTCAAGTTAGAAAAGTTTCTGTTGAATCATTGTCAAGCTCATCAATGTTTTGTCAGCTGTCATGTATTCTCTTTCCTGTTGGAGGGTTTCTTCTTTCCAATACTTCCTTTTACGCTCAGAGTTTGCATTTATCTGCTTGTAATCATGCCTTTGCTTCCATGTTGTCTCATTTTGTCAATATATCTCTCAGTATATGAGCCATAGAGATTCAATAACAAGACTGACCACCTCAATCATGGCTATGTTTATTTACATTCCCATCAATAGCATATAAGAGCCCCTTTCTTTACATCCCTGCTTGTGTTTGCTAGTCTTTTATTTTTTAGAAGGCATTCTAACTGACATAAAGATATAATCTCATGGTTGCTTTCATCTGCATTTCTCTGAAGATTAATAATACTGAATATTTTTCATAAAAATTAACTCAAAATAGACCAAGGAGCTAAATGCAATACCTGTAATACTGAAGTTATTAGAAGAAAACATAGGGCAATACTTTGAGACATTGGTATGAAGAAAGAAATTGACAAAGAAGGATTGACAAGAAGGATTACATAACACTAAAACACTTTGGCACAGCAATAAACAAAAACAAAATCCTGACTGCAAAGACAACTTTCAGAGTCTGAGAAAATATTTACCAACTTGTCATTTGACAGAGAATTGATGCTCAGACAATATATAAAAACTTATCCAGGCACCAATGACTCACACCTGTAATCATAACTACACAGGTGGCTGAGATCTGAGGATCATGGGTAGGAAAACCTGTGACACTTTTATCCCCAGTTAACCCACCAAAACCAACCAGAAGTGGTGCTATAGCCTTGAGCAAAAAAGCTCAGGGACAGCATCTAAGTGCTGAATTCAAGCCCCAGGATGGGCATTTAAAACAACAACAACAGCAGCAACAATAACAAAAAACTTCAAAAAACTTCATCACTTCATGATAAAAAAAAAATCTACTTGAGGTATAGGTAAATGATCTGGATAGACACTTCTGAACAGAAGCAATGTGAAGGCTGGCCCACTTTTCCATTGAATTTACCAGTTGGTAAGTTGATTGGCAAGAAAAACCTGACTCCTAACCTGCTTCAGCTTGTAACATGCCTGTCTCACAAAGTGTTACCATTGCTAGCTTTTTATTTATTTTTATAAGAAAATTTTATTGTTAGCTAAATGTTACTCTCCTTAATTTCACTTAATTTACTCACCCTTGGTCCATATGGACATAACATAAATCTTTAAATATAAAGATCATGTACACATAAAGAAGATTAATTCTTTATCCTCAATACTAGGTAAAAGGCTGAAGTCTGTTATAAATAATAAAGGAGGGAACCTAATTGAAATAGAAATTAGTCATCCATTGAAAGAAATTTATCAAAAGAGCAAGAATAAAGGAGTTGGAAACAGGGCTGGGAAGGTGGCTCAGTGGTAGAGCACTTGCCTTGCATGTCTAAGGCCCTGGGTTCGATTTCTCAGCACCACATAAGCAAAAAGAAAAAAGCCGGAAGTGATGCTATGGCTCAAGTGGTAGAGTGCTAGCCTTGAGCTGAAGAGCTGAGGGACAGTGCCCAGGCCCAGAGTTCAGGCCCCACGACAGGACTCAAAAAAAAAAAAAAAAAGGAGTTGGAAACATGAATTGAACATATGCTCCATAAAGAATGTAAAGAACAAGATTTTATGTCCTTGACTTTTATGAATATAAATATTTAGATTTTTTAAATTAATTTTTTTAATTTTATTGTAAGGATGATACACAGAGGGATTACAGTTACATAAGTAAGGTATGAGTACATTTCTTGACAAACATTGCTACCCCCTCCCTTTTTTCTCCCACTTTCCCTCCCTTCTCTCCCCTCAAGTTGTAAAGTTCATTTCCAACATAGTATCTTGTGAATATTGCATTGGTTTATCCTTTGTCCTTTGTCTCATCATTTTGTTATCCCCCATTCTTTCCCCAGATCAGATAAACATATATACAAGACATAGGATACCAAAATCAAAAGCAGCAACTACAGGGATAACCCAAAGGGGGAGCGGAAATAGAAAAATAATGAAGGATAAAAGAAATAACTTCACACAGTATATTAAAAACAAAAAGAAAAAGAAAACAAATCTCATTTCCAAATCCTGGAGTTCATTTTGATTCGTATCATTTTGTATGGTCATTATATATATACCACTGAGCTATTCTGATTCTCTGCTAGGACTATCCTAGAGATATATTTTCTCTTTATTGCTTTCCCAATCCCCATCAAATCATTTGGAAATGCAAGATGCAATTAAAATTGAAAGGCTACTCTGTATAACACTTATTCTGCACCAGATTCTGGTCCAAATGGCCTGTAGCTAGCTTTTTATTTAAAGTGAGAGATATAACTTCATCCAATGTGACCACTTACCATTGTAGGAGTATTAACTATCCTAGTTCAATATTTTTGTGTGTCAAAGATTAAGGAGACCTTAGAAGAGACCAGGGTATAGCCAGTATAATAGCCTGATTGATTACGTTCCTTGTTTTGGGATACTGGTGACAGAGCACTCACTTAGTATGTACAAGATTTTGGAGCCAATCCTTGGGTGGGGAAAAGGTGGGAGTCCAAAAATCCCTGTCTTATGGGGTTGAAGTTCATGGTACCAAAAAGGAATCAGAAAATTACACACTGACCACCATAACAGATATGATGATAATCGAAAAGCTGGAATTTTATGAGAAATATAAGACACAAAATGAACACATACTGTTAGAAAAATGGTACCAGTAGATTGCCACAAACATTCAGTTTGTAAAATCATCATCACTATCACCAACATCATCCTCATCTCTCCATAAAACACAATAGAGCACAGTAAACCAATATGTCTGTATATACATGTACATGTGGCCAAGGGAACTTATTTCTTCCAATTTTTTCTGGATTGCTTAATTAATCATTTCCCTTAAGTGGAAAGACATTTTTATTTCATTTTTGTTGTTATTATAAAGGTGATGTACAGAGGGGTTACAGTTGCATAAGTCAGGTAAAGCATAAATCCACCCCTTCCCTTACTCTCTCCCAGTTTTTCCCTCCCATCACACCCACAAATTGTATGGTACATTTTCAACATAGTATCCACAGAGTGCCACTTCTGCATTTATTCATCCATTGTCCCTCCATCTCTTGCCCTCCCAAAGATAGATAAACAAACAAGACAAAAAACAAAAACAGAGCCAGGCGCTGGTGGCTCACGCCTGTAATCCTAGCTACTCAGGAGGCTGAGATCTGAGGATCGCAGTTCGAGGCCAGCCAGGGCAGGAGAGACTGTGAGACTCCTATCTCCAATAAACCACCAGAAAACCGGAAGTGGCGCTGTAGCTCAAGTGGTAGAGCGCTCGCCTTGAGCTGAAGAGCTGAGGGACAGCGCCCAGGCCCAGAGTTCAAGCCCCACAACCGACAAAAAAAAAAAAACAGGACCAAAGGAAAAAAACCTCTTGTTTCCCCTTCTTGGAGTTCATTTGGATAAAAATTATTTTATATGATCAGATGCACATAGGCACTGTGCCTTTGTGTTCCTCTAAGAGTATCTTCCTTTGATCTCACTATGTGTGGATGCCTAGAATCCTGTAGAATTTGCCATGTTGAAGAGGAATTTTTCAAAAAATTCTTAAATGAAATGATTCTTTGCCTTCCCTCTACTAATGAATGTGACATTGAAATAAAGCAAAACTTCCTTCCAGAAAATCTCACCATTTAACAGTCTTTAGAGTTTTTTTTTTTTTCTCCCTTGTGATCTCCACAACCATTAGCAACACTGGATGGCCTTAGTTTAATGACATTTCTTCAAGAGGCTATTCTGAACCTCATAGTAGAGGAATACTTATATTTCCTGTTTGGGAATTTAAAGTTAATGTCTGTGTCCTCTGGTATACTGAAACCTGGAAGGTAGAGTTTCCTCAAGTCTATTACAATGATCTCCTCTGGAGCTCTCTGCAGTGATAAAGAGGCTCTATATTTTTAACAATAGAGATGTTATTATAATAGTTGATGTGCCAGTGTTTAATTACTCTAATCCAGTAGAATTGTTAATTCCATTTTTTCTAAGATGAATAACCACATGCTGCAAGAATCTACATATTGAAAACTAAATCTACAGTTGAAAACTAAAGAAATGTTCCTCAAACTCTGAACCAAGTAGTCAGGATCTTTTATAACCCATTCCTGAGTGATTCTTACAGGCATGGAAATCAGATAACTACTGATCTAGAATAGGATCCTCAAGCCTATTTTCACACTAGCTCTATCTTCAAGAAATTCAAAAAGAAAATAGTTCCTGAGCACCACCCCCAGATTCCACTTTAGTTGGTTGGGTATGGGTTTAGTACTTAAAAAAGAAAAAAGAAAAAAAAAAGTAGGCAGGAGGAGGGGGAGTATAAAGGAAGAGGAATGCATATTGCAGGTGCAACCAAACCTGAGTTATATTCCCATATGTCGTTCTTTTTCTGTTAGTTCAATAGATAGATCAATGATCTGGATTTATAAAGTACTGGTGATGAAGTGAAATGGGAAAAAGTCAGTTTCGGTTCTTCGGTTACGCTGTGAAATCCCTCAGCCTTCTGTTTTATCCGTAAACATCACAACTCACACTTAAAAAAGGGTTTCTAGCTTGGCTGTGCCCTTTTTGCACACATAAAACCTGTTTCTCTGGTTGAATGACAGAACTTGACAGCTATCAGCAAGTCACCTGACAGGCCATGTGGCCCAACCTTGGGAGGAGGGCGGCCCCAGCCTGCTGGCCTGGGAGGGCCTTCTAGAGGGTGTGGAAGTGACGGACCCAGCAGGAAGTAGAGGCCCGAGGCGGGGTGGATGCATCAGGATAAAGCTCAGCTCCAGCTCTGGGGTCCGGTCGGAGAGCGCGGCACTCGGGCCGCGGCGTGGAGCGCGCTGTGAGAATGACCAGGCAGGTCGGTGAATAGATACGGATTCTGCGTAAAGGGTACGGACTCTGCGCAATAAGAACTTTTCGCGGGGGGCGGGGGCACCCACGGACTTTGCGCAACAAGCGAGTACAGACTCTGCACAATAAGCGTACCCAGACTTCGCGCATTGAGGGTAAGAACTTTGCTCAGTTGACGTACAGGGACTCTGCTTAAGGAGCCTGCCCCGACTTGGCGCAGCGCCTTACCAACTCGAGTAAACTCCGCAGCCTGGAGCTGAGCGGCTTCGGATCATTCACGGAAGTGCAGCCCTGATCTCTGATTTTAAACTGGGGCTCATAGTAAAGTGCACGCCCTGCTAACTTTGCCTGGAGATTTGAGGAAATCAATAAACTAAAAATGCAGTCGTTGAAGTAGCAGTGATAAGGGACACACCCAGTACTAATTAAAAGGGGTTGGGGGAGAGGCTTAGAATTGGTAGGAAAACAGTAAACAAAGAAAAGTAGTAAAAATTTAAAAAATAAATGCCTAATATCAATGACCATTTAAAAGTAAGCATTAAATAGGAAAAAAAAAAAAAGCTCAAAGCACCCTGAACGTTTGAGGAAATAGATGGATTTAAACTGACTCAAATGTGACTTAATTTATACATATCCAATATGGGACATGTTACCTGATTATTATGTGTGTGTTTATGTTTATATGTAGCAATAAACTTAATTTAAAATTTTTAAAGAAAAATAATAAAGTGAAAGTTTTAAAAGTACCAGTAGTTTGAGCCTTAGGTTTGTGCTAAAAAGAAATAGGAGTAAAATGCTGAAGTGATTGTCTTTCTTTTCTACAAAAATGTCATTAATTCAAAGAGAGTAGATTCTTCCTAAATGATGGTAAGCTATTGACAGTCAAAACTGCCTGCTCTGTGAAATGAAGAGTTGTGCCATAAACTTCATGTGTTTGCTGGTAGTAACCTAAGACAGCTCATTTCATCAGTCACAGTGCAAGTCCTACACTTGACCAGCACTTCAAATTATTTCCAGTCCAGGGCCCTTCTGCCCCATCTGGGACTTGTCTCAAAAAGTAGAGTACCTTCAGGTGGATGAGTTCAAACCCCAGTGGCACTCTCCATCAAGCCCAGCTTTTGCCTGGTTATTTTGGGATAAAATCTAGGTGGCCCAGCCTGGCTTCAAACCTCAATCCTCCAGATCTCAAACTCCTGAGAAGCTAGGATTACATATATGAGCCACCAGATCCCAGCTGACAATCTCTTCTTTTTATTCTTTTTATTTTTTATTTTTTTGGGGGTCCGGTCGTGGGGCCTGAACTCTGGGCCTGGGCGCTGTTCCTCAGCTCTTCAGCTCAAGGCTAGCACTCTACCCCTTGAGCCACAGCGCCACTTCCGGCTTTTTTCTTTTTGCTTATGTGGTGCTGAGGAATTAAACCCAGGGCCCTCAGGCATGCAAGGCAAGCGCTCTACCACTGAGCCATCTTCCCAGCCCCCAATCTATTCTTTTTATGTAAAACTTTGGGGCTTTTTTCCCCACCTGATCTGAATTAAAATGGAAAGTAAGTTATTTCTTAACCAAGAGCTAATCCTGTTATTTCACCTGATGCCCTTCCTAAATATTTCCTCCTACTCCTCCTCCTTTTCCTTCTTCTTGCTTTCTCAGTATATTAGATTATATCATTGTATACATTATATTTTTCAGCTCTCCTACAATGATGAGTTTTGTTTATTTGCTTTTGTTTGCTTGTTTGTTTGAGACGGAATCTCTGTGTAATCCAGACAGAGCTCTTCTTGTCTCAGTTTCCCTCATTTCTGTTTGGTATCTGCTCCTATCAGTTCTTCCTCTATGGGCCATGTAAGTTAATGTTAGGTTTAAACTTCCTTGGAGCCTACTAGAGGACTAGTATGGATAGTGACACTTTTAACTTTTCGATATGTCTCAGCCTCTTCCTCATCCATATCATATCCATGAAAGATACTTTCTTCTCAGCAGTATGTTTTTAAGAAAGTACAGATAATTTCAAATAGGCATTTTCTTTATGAAAGTTATTGTACTATTTTGATTATATTCCTGTTTTTAGTTAAATTTTCCATAAAGGTATCAAGATGTTTTGTAGGTAATTGTGTATTAGTATTCCCTGCGAAAACACAACAATACTTAAGAACAATATATGGATCTTTAAATATTTAGCATTGCCATAAAAATAAATGATTTCATATAAATTCTGGAAACATCCACACAAACATCACTATGACATAAAGGTTGAAAGGGAGAAAAAGACTGGATTATCCTGAATTCTATTCCAGAATAGTGGTTCCAATCAGTATATAAAACATGAATCTAAAATGATGTGATGGAAAGACTAACCAAATTATTTTGTGGATATTTTCCTCATGTAGCTTATGCAATGAAAAAGGTGAATTGTGTTTGGTGGACATTTCCAAATGTTTTCTCATGAAAAAGATCTGACTATGGGTTGTTGGTAGTTTGGATGTTCCTAGCGAAACCAGAACTTCATCAAGTGTATACTTGTACTGGGGTGCAAGAATTTTCTTCAATGATAGACAGTTCTAGAATCTGTATTGTCCAGTGCGATGGCTAAAAGACACATGGATACTAGGCATTTGAAGTGTAATTAACATGGCTGGATGTTTTTAACTTGTTTTGATTAATTTTAGTGAAAAGTTAGTTATCTCTACATGAGCCATGGTTTCTAAATTGCACAAGCCAGAGTGCTGACTAGCTCCCTTGCACTGTCCTGCAAATTGCTAGTGTTGCGCAACATACCCACTGCTGATAGTTGATTCGACAAGATTTGTGAAGCATTACTTCTATCTTCCTTTGCTTATAAAGGTCAGATAGAAATTCACAAGCTATTGAATTTGATTGACACCTCAGCCAATTGAACTCCGAACTCAAACACTTTTTCCTAATATCAGTCCAGTTCACAGGGGAATAGTTGTTATAATGTAGTAAACATTGGATTCGGAACTTGGAAGAAGTTTTCAAGTTTTGAAGAAAACATTGAGTTTCTTTTTATTGTACATTAGTAATAAAGAATATCTACCAGTAGAATAAATGAAAATACAGTGTAAACATAATATATAATTACATAATGTCCTGACTATTAACAAGAAAGAACTGTAGTGTACTTTTAATGAACAAACATCATATATTGAATATAATTTGTCCAGAGGTTTACAACTTCTCATGGTTTCATTTTTATTTCTTTCATTTCAGAAACTCTTGAAAAGGGCATCGAGTCTAAAGTGCACCAGCTCACTCTGGCTCTCTTAGCACCATGAACAATAATGGAACAGGCCTGGCCATTGGCTACCTCTCCTCTTCTGTGGCAATACTTTTGTTTGGCTCAAACTTTGTGCCACTCAAAAAATATGATACTGGTGATGGTAATTATTTTTACTTCATTGCTAAACTAAAATCATTTTTAAAATTTTAAATTGTTTTGCTTTTTGCTCTTTTTAAAATGATAGTTACCAAAAAAAAAAAACCTGTTTTGTTGATACTAGGAACAAATGAACAGAACTCACATATATTGTATGATAAAGCCCTGTTTATCCAAGAGTTAGAAGAGCATAACCTTTCTGGCTGTGATTCATGGAAGACTAGGAAGGGATACTGTCAGGAAAAATTTTCAGACACATCAGTAAGTTATAGTCAGTTCTACAAGCAACACATGGTTTGAAAGCACAAATTTTAAATTTTCCAACACAACTGATAAATTAGAAACAATATGAGGCTAACATGAATGTCATGCTTTCATATACATAATTTTGTGTCATAGAAAATAAGAGACAAATACAGAATATTATTCCCAGTTAAATAAATATATGTAGTAATGTACACTGTGTGCGCACACGCGCGTGCACACACACACACACACACACACACACACACAAACATACACTTCAAATCTTTCCCAGCTTCCTCAATTCTCTTTACCCTCACATGCTGTTTATCAGGCTCACCTACAGCTGGTGTCAGATCGTTCAACTTCATAATAATGCAGTTATCAAGCCCCTCCTGATTCCAGTTCCACTTGCAAACTGTGAGTCTTTCTTACGTTGAAGTGCTATATTTATTACAGCATTTGTGTAGTTATAACTATTATTGTTTTCATTATGTGACCCATTTTTATTATACTTCTGAAGAAGCTATTCCCCTAACATCCATAGCTTTACATGATGCACTTTAGATAGGATCTGTAGATGGAGTGACAAGGATATTAAAAATGTTAGTGTCAGACTCAGGAATTAGAAAAGAACCAGGAAGTAAAACCGTAAAGGAAAAATTCAGAGCAGCAAATTTTCCTCGTTCACCCTTCCTTTCTCTTATTAAGCAACCAGAATAGGAGTACATAAAAGACCTGACTCACTTCTCCTTTTAGTAGGAAGCTGCCTATGTTAAAAAGGACATATCTGAAATACTGGCCTAAAAATTATACCTATTGTTGCTGTGCTTGAGTAGACTGAGTCCACTTGTCTCTGATATATTAAGAAACAATAAGATCCATCTTAGTCATATTTTAAGTAATAGGCTCACCCTAACTCTATTGCCTTCCATGCTTGAAAGCATGTGATTAGGGATTGCTAGGGGATATGACCACAGTTCTATATGAGAATTCAAGATGTAGTCCTCCAAGATGAATGCCATAAGACAAACCACCATTTGGAATCTTGTTCTTCACTTCCATCTCTTGACTATAAAGCAGAAGATAGTTCTCTCTCCCTTCTGTTTCTCCCTATGTTGTCCTATTTTACTAATCCTGCTAGAAATTCCACACTGTGAGAGTTTCCTTTTTGTGAGACACTTCAAAATGCCTTTTGTCATGGATTCCATGTTTCTGTGAATTACATGGAAATGGAAAGCCAGAGGACTCCCTCTCCCCCTTATGTTTTCTTTCCTTCGTCCCATAATAGTAATGAGCAAAATTAAGTGTGAGGTAGCTTTTAGATAATGAAAAGCAAAAGGTCACTGTTTTATTCATATGCCCTCCATATGGACAACACAAGAAAGGATTAGAGATATTAAAGTGAATATCTGTTGAGAAATGACTTTCCTAGGAACTTTGTTTTATCTTCCTCATTCCTAATATCTTCAGATAGCTTATACAATAGGATGGCAAATATTTTTTTGCTAGAACCTGTCTTGTCTTTTCTTTGGAATGGAAATAGTAGAAAAATAACAGAGAAAGGCAGACGACTCAGCTTTTAGGTTTTCACAATCTGCTTTATGATCCCACACAAGCTTTTTGGATTGGTTTATTTGGGTGTGTGTGTGTGTGTGTGTTTCTGTGTGTGTGTGTGTGTGTGTGTGTGTGTGTGTGTGCTGACTCTTCAGGGTCTTACACATGCCACTCTACCACTAAGCTACACCCATAGCTCTGGTAAAGTCTGGTTGATGATTTTTGTTTTCAATTTTTTACTTGTAAAACAAATCTCCTTTTCATCTATCTGACACTTTTATATTGTTTTTCTTTTATTTTTGTTTTTTGGGTTTTTTTTGTTGGGCATGGGGCTTGAACTCTGGCATGAGCACTGTCCCTCAGCTCTTCAGCTCAAAGATAGCGCTCTACCACTTGAGCCACAGTGCCACTTCCGGTTTTCTGAGTGATTTATTGGAGATAAGAGTTTCACAGACTTTCCTGCCTGGGCTGACTTTGAACTGCTATCCTCAGATCTCAGCCTCCTGAGTAGTTAGGATTAAAGGCATGAGCCACCAGCGCCTGGCTATTATCTTGGTTTTGATGTTTGCAGCTAATATTTTCTCTCCTTAACTGTGAGGAAATAAAAACAAACAAAAATCTCCCAAAGTTAGAGTCAAAGATGATAGCAGAGAGGCTACCTTAATGTTTCTTTCAGTGCTATTAAGCAGTGTACCTGTGAGATCACCAGGTGATCTTCACATACTTGGACAATAGTAACTAAGAACATAAAAGTGAAGTAGCCTTTACGTAGAAGGCTATAGGTTTATAAAATCTAGCCTATCATAGGCATTGAATTTCAATTCTATGAGGCTTGTAAATGGCTATAAGTGACTTAATTTTTACCCAGAAGATGACCTAAATGATCTCTGAAGATTTAAATCACTATTGTGCTATTCTAAAGTTCTGACAGCTGAATGTTAAGCAAGAGCTCGCTGAGTGTCGGTCTCTACAAACATCTAGATATTTGGACAGGCAGATTCATCTCAGATTCATTTTCTCCATCTTTTAGGTAGGTTGATTATATGCTCACTAGTCAGTCATAAAAATGATATGTGCAAGTGCCTGGTATGTACGTTTAACAAATTGTGACCATTTCTATAAATAAATATATATATATATATTTATATACACATACATAGATATACATGTACGTGCTGTGTGCCTAAGTATGAGTTTGTTCAATATTTGAACTATTAATACCATGGTATTTACTTCTAGGCATGTTTCTCCAGTGGGTGCTTTGTGCTGCTGTGTGGCTGGTTGCTGTAGTAGTCAACCTTATACTACGATGCCCTAAGTTTTGGCCTTTTGCCATGCTTGGGGGCTGCATTTGGGCAACAGGTGATGTATAATCTGGCTTATTGTGTAAATATTTAATGTAATGGCCAATGTAAGTTTTGTTCACAAGAGGTAGAAATAGCTCAGCACTTCTGAATAATCCTTAGTCATAGATAATACAAATTAAGTATTTAATTTCTTCCTTTCAGATACTCAGTGTACACTTCCTGATTTGTTTCTTTAAGCAATGAAAGTTTCTGATAATAAATTATTAGAGTAAAAATATTTCAGTTATTTATAACATGACTTTTATATTGTTTTATGTGCTTGGGCCTTTTGTCTATTAGAAAATGTGAAATAATAGCCTTTACTACTGTTATTTTTAAGATTTATTCATAAAAATAATCAGAGAACAAAAACATTTATCAACAGAAAAACAAAATAGACAAAAATCTTCTCATTTTGCCTTAGCCACATGGGAAATGGTATAACTAGAATTTGTATCTTTGGTTGGCCAATCAGAAATGGTTCTCCCTTGCTATAAATTCATTCCTGGAGAATGCACACTCTCTTTCTCTTGCTCTGGCTCTCACTTTCGTTCTCACTCTCACTGGCTGCTACCAGGTCTTGGACTCAGGGTCTCTCTTGTTCTGATGGCTGACTCTTTATCTTTGAGTCATGCTTTTAACTTAGAATTTTGCTGGTCAGAATGAGAGTTTTCTGTCTAAACTGGTCTGGAAACCTAATACTTCTGATCTCTTCCTGAATAGCTAGCATAACAAGTTTAACCTTCAATGCTTCCCTGAGCTTTTTCTTTTCAACAAAAAGAATCCCAAATACCAGTGAACTTTAGGGATACTAAAAGCAAATACATGGGCTGGGAAGGTGGCTTAGTGGTAGACTGCTTGTCTTGTATACATGAGACCCTGGGTTTGATTCCTCAGCACCACATAAGCAGAAAAAGCTGAAAGTGGTGCTGTGGCTCAAATGATAGAGCACTACCTTGAGCTGAAGAGCGGAGGGACAGCGCCCAGGCCCAGAGTTCAGGCCCCATGACTGGCAAAAAAAGAAAAAGAAAAGAAAATACATTTTAAAATGGTACTAACTTACTGATTACTTACTTAATTTGAATCTGAGAGCAATCAAATGACTTAATGAAGTTCATGAGAGATCAAGAGTCATCCTTTAAGTTTCTACCAGAATGTACGTCATGATTCATCACGCTCATTACTATTATTATGTCTAATGAGAAACAACAATTATTCAGCCCGAAGATCTTTTTTTAAGACAGAATCTTGCCATTTAACAGCCCAGGCTGGCCTTGAACTTGAGATCCTCCTTGAACTTGAGTCTCCCAAGTATGGGAATCACAGGCAGAGCACACCACAGCTGGTTCATCCTGCAGATCATTGTAGCCACCAGAATAGATGTCATCACTCAGCAGGTTCCACTGGGGTCAGGGGAAGGGAACTGTTTCAGCTGTGGCTCTTGTAAGGTCATAGCAAGTGACAGGACATAGGGCAGAAAAGAAAGAGAAGAAATGATGATATAGACACCATCAGAGAAAGTGGTGTTGAGGTTTACTACTGAAGAAACTAGGGAAAAAAAAGAGCCTTTCAGAAGGGAAATGAAGACTTCATCATGGAATCTTCTAAGACTAAAGTACTGATGTACCACAACAGTTTGGAACATAACAACAAAACTTGGGTATCTTCCAGCAGCAGCTGCAGTGTTGGGAGCAGGTTGACCCCTGAAATAATGAAATTAGGTCAAGTACACAAAGAATAGAGGAAAAGGAGTAGTATGTTCAAGAGACATCTAGAAAGCACTTAAATCCAGAGGTATAATGAGAAATAGCTGCCAGAGGAAAGAGCTAGAGTACACCAAGAGGAGAATTAAGAAGTCTAAAGAGGGAATCAACCTTCTAAAAAGAGTTTAAGATGGAAGATAGTCTTCTGAGGGCTTAGTAAATTTGGGGAAAAAAATAATAATCTGAAAATGGTGGTATACACATGTAGTCCCAGCTACTGGGAAGGCTTGGGCAGGGAAATCACTTGAGCCCATGAACTCAAAGTCGTCTGGGCAGCATAATAAGATCCCATCTCAGTGATAATAATAACAATAACTTTTAAAATGATGGTGCATTTTGACCTGAGTGACCTTCAAAGAGAAGGTAATGAATGTGGAAGTCTAGAAGACAAGTAAAATGAGCTTGAAAAGCAAATCCTGGTACCAAAATTAAGCCAAAGACTCCTGCCAGTGGTTAGTCATTAACAGCTTCTGAGAGACCTCAAGAATAGAGCTTTACAACTCCATTCGGAATAGCCCCACAAAAAATAAAATACATAGGAATTAACCAAAGAAGTGAAGGACCTCTATGATGAAAACTTTGAAAACCTGAAAAAGGAAATCAAAACAAAACTTAGAAAGTGGCAAAAACTCCCATGCTCCTGGATTGGAAAGATCAACATCGTGAAAATGGCAATACTTCCCAAGGCTATCTACAAATTCAATGCAACACCTATCAATAGTACAACCTCATTCTTCAAGGAAATAGAAGAGGCAATCCAAAAATTCATATGGAACAATAAAAGACCCTGAATAGCAAAAATGATCCTTAACAGAAAAAACAGTGCTGGAGGAATATCAATACCAAATTTCAAACTCTACTGCAAAGCCACAGTAATCAAAACAGCTTCCTACTTGCACAAGAAGAGACTCCAGGATCAATGGAATAGAATTGAAAACCCAGAAATGAACTCAAAGACCTATAGCCATATAATCTTCGATAAGAGAGCTAAAAAAGTAGAATGGAAGAAAGACAGCCTCTTCAGTAAATGGTGCTGGCAAAATTGGTTAACTACTTGTAGGAAATTAAACCTAGATCCTTATACATCACCCTGTACCAGAATCAACTCCAAATGGATCAAAGACCTCAGAGTCAAAACAGACACTCTGAAAACATTACAGGATGGGATAGGAGAAACCCTAGGTCTCCTTGGCACAGGCCCAAATTTTCTTAATAAAGACCCAGAAACACAACAAACCAAAGAAAGGTTGGACAAATGGGACTGCATGAAATTGCAGAGCTTCTGCATGGCAAAGGACATAGCTCACAAGATCAATAGAAAGCCCACGGATTGGGAGATCTTCACAGACAAGGGTCTCATATCTAAAATATACCTGGAACTCAAAAAATTAAATCCCCTTACAACAAATCTTCAAAGAAACAACTGCCCAATAAATAAGTGGGCTAAAGACTTAAAGAGAAACTTCTCTGAAGAGGAAAGAAGGATGGCCAATAGACACATGAAGAAAT